AAAATAAAAAAAAAAAAAAAAAAAAAATAAAAAAATAAAGAAGAAAGCTGGATTAGAAGAGAACAGCTGGGATCCAAACTGGCATTCCGATATGGGATGCTGACATTACAGGCAGCAATCACCTGGCATACACAACACCAGTCTCTTCCATGAACGTGATGTGTGTGTGTATACACATGTAATTTTTTTTTTTTTTTTTTTTTTTTAAGAAAGGCACAGAGAGCTCTTCCAACCACTGATTCACTCCCTAAATGCCCTCAACAGTCAGGGCTGGACCAGCCAAAGCCAGAAGCAAGGAAATCAATCAGGTCTCCTAGTTGAGTAGCAGGGACCAAAGTATTTGAGCCATCACCGGCTATCTCTGAGGGTGCATTTCAGGAAACTGAAATCAGGAGCAGGGCTGGGACCTGAAGTCTGGGCACTTTAATATAGGATGTGGTACCCCAAACATGTCTTAACTGCCACAACACCAACCCCTATATTTACACAAGCATTTACGTAAAACATACAGGGCAACTCAAAACTGAACCTAGATATGTCTACACAGTAACTCATACACAAATGCTCATATGTGCTTTATTGGTAACAGCCAAAAAATGGACAAACACAAATGCAGATCAACTGATGAACAGATAAAATGCAGAATATTCATGTGATGAATGAACTATTGTTATCTACCCATAAAAAGGAATGATGTACTGACACATGCTATAGTACGGATGAACCTTAAAACTGTTATGCCAGGGAGCCGGCATAGAGGGTAAAGCTGCCGCTTGTGACCCTGGCATCCCATATGGGTGATGGTTCGAGATCCAGCTGCTCCACTTCCAATCTAGCTCCCTGATAATGAGTCTGGGAAAACAGTGGAATATGGCCCAAGTGCTTGGGACCCTGCACACACATGAGAAACCCAGAAGTTCCTGGCTATGGTTTGGCCCAGCTCAGCAATGAAGGTTGCAGCCATCTGGGGAGTAAACTAGAGGATGGAGGATCTCTTTCTCTCTGGTCTGTTCTCTGTGTAACTCTGACATTCAAATAAATAAAATAAATCTTAAAAAAAAAAATCATTATGCTGGGTTGGCTTGGGTGTCTGATGCAGAGGTGAAGCCACTGCTAGGGACACCTACATTCCCTATCAGAGTTCCTAGGTTCAAGTTCTGGCTCTGCTGCAAATTCCAACTTCCTGCTAATTTGCACTCTCAGGGGCAGCAGGTGATGATTCACATATTTGGGTTCCTGTTACCCACACAGGAGGTATGGATTGAGTTCTAGGCGTCCAACTTCAGCCTGGCTCAACCCTGGATACTAAGTGCATCTGGCAGATAACCAGCAAATTTAAGATTTTTTTCTCTCTTCTCTACCTTTCACATAAATAAAACCGTCAAAAAAAATTTTAACCTTTAAAACAAAAAAAATTTTTTTTTTTTTTTTTTTGGACAGGCAGAGTGGACAGTGAGAGAGAGAGAGAGACAGAGAGAAAGGGAGGGAGATCTCTTCCATCCACTGATTCATTCCCCAATTGCCAGGCCTGGGCCAGAACAAAGCTAGGAGCTCCATCTGGGTCTCTCAAGTGAGTGGCAGGGGCCCAAAAAGAAAGCATAAAAAAGAAAATGGAGATAGGCACTTGGAACAGCAATTAAGATGCCACTTAGAATACCTGCATTCCGTGTTCGCTTAGGCAGCACATATACTAAAATTAGAACACCTGCATTCCGTATCAGAATGCCTGGGTTCAAGTCCCAGTTCTGCTTCCAGTTCCAGCTTTCTCTCAAGCACTTGCATCTTTGCCACCCTTGTCAGAGATCAGGATTGAGTTCTGGGCTCCTGGCTTTGGCTTGGCCCAGTCCTGACTGTTGCAGGCATTTGGAGAGTAAAACCAGTGGAAAATCTGTTTCTTTCTGCTTTTCAAACAAAAAATGAAAAGTAAAATAAAAAAAAAATAGTTATTCCTGGTTTCATTTGACTCCTCCATTTCCATAGTGTCCTTTTCAACTTTCATAACTATATTAACTCTAAACACTTGTTAATTATAAAGCAGTAGTTCTCAAACTATGGTACAGGGACCCTTGTAATCCCATTAACTATTTCAAGATGTTTGTAAGATCAAAATGGAAGACCAGGATGGAGATTCTGGCTCCTAGCTTCAGCCTGGCCCATCTCTGACTGTTGCAGCCATTGGGAGAGTGAACTGATAAATAAAGGCTGGCTGGTGTGCACTCGCTCACTCACGCTTGCTTGCTTGCTTGCTCGCTCACTTGCTCTCCACCCCCCTCTCCCCTCCCATCATTATGCTGCTTTTCAAATAAATAAACCATTTTTTTTTTTTTTTTAAGATTCATTTGAAAGGCAGAGTCACAGAAAGGCACAGGCAGAGCATCCACTGGTCCACTCCTCAAACAGCTGCAACCAGCGGAGCTTGACTGATCCAAAGCCAGGAGCAAGGAGCTTCCTCCAGGTATCCCACGTGGGCACAGGGGCCCAAGGACTTTGGCCATCCTCCACTGCCTTCCCAGGTGCATCAGCAGGGAGCTAGATTGGAAGTGGAGCAGCTGGGACTTGAACCAGTGCCCATATGGGATGCCAGCACCATAGGCGGCAGCTTCACCTGCTATACCACAGCATCAGCCCCAAAATAAATAAATCTTTAAAAAAAGTATAAAACAAATTATTTTAATAAAAGAATACAAAAACTATGGTTTGATTCCACAAGGCAGCTAACCTTTAAAAAATTACCTCTCTAGTTTTGTTATAGAATCAAAGAATAGGGGCTGGCACTGTGATGCAGCGGGTTAACGCCCTAGCCTGAAGCGCCAGCATCCCATAACGGCGCCAGTTTGAGATCCGGCTGCTCCACTTCTGATCTCTGCTCTCTGGGAAAGCAGCCACGTGGGAGACCAGGAAGAAGCTCCTGGCTCCTGATCAGTGCAGCTGCAGCCATTGCGGCCAATTGGAAAGTGAACCAGTGGATGGAAGACCTCTCTCTCTGCCTCTCCTCTGTGTAATTCTTTCAAATAAATAAATAAAATCTTTAAAAAAATCAAAAAATTGATCAAAGAATATCACAACTTTTGAAAAAGGAATTAAAAAGCACTTCTCTCCATATACTGGTGTGAAGCTGGATTTGCTTCATATACTTCATCCAGAACAGCGAACAGCAACAGACTGAACACAGAAACTGACAGAATCCAGCTGTCTTCTACCAGGTCAGACATAAAGGATATCTGGAAAAATGCAATACAGTTGCTATTCCTTTTCTTATTATTTTGCTACTGTTGCTGTTGTTTTGGGGTAGTAGTTTCTCACTAAAAATGTTAAGTACAGGGCTGGGTGTTTTGGCCTACTGGTTAGGACAATGGTTAGGATGCTGGCGTCCCATACTGGAGCACCTAGGTTCCACTCCAGATGCCAGTTTCCTGCTAATGTGTACCCTGGAAGGCAGCAGGTGACAGCTCAAATAACTGGGTCCCTGCCACTCACACGGGAGATCTGAGTTTTGCTTCTGGCTCTGATGCTGCAGGCATTTGGGAAGTGTAACCAGCATATGGGAACTCCCTGTCTCTCAAAAAATTTTTCTTAATAAGAAAAAAATATCTTTTTAAGATTTATTTACTTTATTTGAAAGTCAGATTTGCAGAAAGAGAAGGAGAGGCAGAGAGAGCTTTTTCCATCTGCTGGTTTACTCCCCAGATGGACAAAATAGCCAGGGTGGAGCCAGGCCAAAGCCAGGAATCAGGAACTTCACTGAGTCACCCACGTGGATACGGGGCCCCCTTCAGCCATTTTCTGATGCTTTCCCAGGCGCATTAGCGGAGAGCTGGATCAGAAGTTGAGCAGCCAGAACACAAACCAGGGCCCGTATGGAAAGCTGACACTGCAGACGGCGGCTTAATCCAGCACACCACAACACCAGCCCTGTGGAGTTGACTTCCAACTACAATCTAAACTTAATATCACCTTCAGTAGAGAGAACTCTATGTGGAACATCAATCTGCTAATAACAAACTCATGAAAAAAATATTAACAATTACAAAAGCAATCCATTATTTGGAATTGTGCAGCTCTGATCACCTTCATTATCAGAATAAAAGCAATGGGTTTTGCATCATAATGAAGTACCAAGCTAAAAAAGGCCATGCAGCAAAGTGAGTTAATGGTATTCATTAATTACGGTCCTTTTTTAGTTCTTCTGTGAAGCATAATTTATTTAAATGCCAGCACAAAGCTTTGTCCAGGGCAGATGCTAAAAAAAAAAAAAGAAAAAGAAAAAGAAAAAAAAATCTTGTTCACCACAGATTTTAACACTGACTGAGCAAGGAGAAATGATAGCATATTTTCTTCAGTTAGGAATGATTAAGGTGAGTAAAGCCCTTAAACCAGGGCAAATTCTGTTCAAAGGGCCTTGCTTCCAAAGTCACAGCTGACTTAAGAAGCATGATCTGCTTTCTGGCGACAAGGGGTGACTATTACAGTCCTAGTTTTCTCCTTTCCTCGCATGGTCTAGGACTGAATCTGCAGCTTCCAAAATAACACTTTTAAAGCACTTCTCATTGCCACGTAGGTGGTGAGAATTTTTAAGTTTTTGCAAGTTGAAAAAATTCTACTGGTGTTGGTGCCCTGTAGAGGAGAAACTGATCACAAGACAGGCTGAAAGCGGTTATAATTCATTGCAACCTGGACGCTTTCAACTAAAATCCTGCTTGAGCCAGTTTACAAAAAAAAAAGTGGGGGGAGGGCAGCTTATCATTTCACTATGTAGCACTTTGCAGAAAACAAAATGGATTATTTTATAATACTACTCAGATACTGCACGCTGCAATCACTTCCTGCTGAAACTACAGAAAGCACGGTACACAGGACTTCTCCAATCCTCACGCTGTAACTCCTTCCTCCTCCTCCCCCGCCAAACCTCCACCCCCTGGAAAATTCTGTAGCGCCAGGTTTTCCAAACACATCATTTGAAGGGGGGTGGGAGGGACGAACGGCAGAGTCCTCTAAATTTTGCACTTGCCATCCCACTCCGCCTGTGCAAAATAAACCCTCGTTGTAAAATCACCTTATTAAAAGTGACAAAAATCGAGGACTCAATTTCCTTCTGCTCGCACCTCTCCAAGCGCTGTAAAATTGCACTACGGCCCTCAACGCACCCATTTCTGCTCCACGACAGCCCCACCTGTGCCCAGACCCCAATTGCCAACCCCAATTACTCCATGACCTTGGCCCCGAGCCACCCAAGCTGTAAACACGGGGAGATGCCCACAGCCCCGCGGCGCGCACTGCAGAGGCCTCCGGGCGCGGGCCAGGTCTGCGGGCGGCGGCGGGGGCAGGCGAGCACACCGCAGGAAGCGCGGCTCCGGGGCGAGCGGGGACGCCGGGGGCGGGGACCAGGCCCGGGGCTACCTGCCCCGCGCGGCGCAATGGCTGCACGCCACCTCGGGGGGCTCTGGAAGCCCCCACGGCCCCGAGCGCCTGCGGACACGGCCCCTGAGTAACCCCGACGGCCCAGGCGGCAGCGGCAGGTGATGCCGCGGCCGGCCGGCGAGCGCGCAGGTTAGCGCCTACCTCAGGCGACGGCGTCTCCGAGCCTCCCACCTCCCTCCCCGGGGCACGAGGAGCGGGGACCCCGGCCACGGGAAGAGGCGTGCGAGGCAGCGCGACCCAGAGGGTGGGACAGGAAAGCGAAAGCCGTCCGCTCTCCGCAGCAGCTGGCAAACCCGAGGTGCGGTCGTAAGCGGCGGGGCCGTCAGAGACGCTCGCGTACCTTTCTTTGCCCGGCCCGGGAGTCCAACTGCAGCCGGCAGATCGCCTCACATCCGGGTACCCGGAGACACTCAGCTGCTTCTGCCGCGACCGCCGCCTCCCCGCGGCGCAAACACCAAACTTCCGGCGACGACGGCGACGCCTCGCCCGTCAGATGGGAGTTACCTGTGACCGTCTTGGATGCGCTTGCGCAACGCTCCTCTTCAGCCCTAACCGGCTCAGCTGACGTGCCCAGAAGACGAAGATGGCCGCCACGCTCGGTGCGTGTCACGCAATTTTCACCCTGGCTCGGACGGCTGGGGCGTCGGGGAAAGGCGAGCCAGCGGCCATCCTTAGCGCAGGCGCGGTGGGAGGCCTCGCGTGTGCGCGTCTCCGCGGGTGGGCGCCCGGCGGAGAAGCGGCGGCGCCCCCTAGCGGCGGCCGCTGGTCCTCCCTGCTGTCATTTCCAGGATTAACACCACCAGGCCCCCAGCAATGGTGGAAAATGCCCTGTCGGCTTCGAGTCTTTTTATCTGCGGTGTCTTGTCCAAATGCTTTTTCATCTTCGATATGGGCCCGTGTAAGGAAGGCGCGCTGGGGTACCCGAAACTGAACTCCAGAGCCGCCAAAAAATTCAGGGCGTCACCCCCTCCTCGCGCGCGAGAGCACAAGAGCCTGCAAGAAATGGTAGAATGTGCCACTAGGGTTAGCCGGGGCGGATGTTCACATAGGGCTTTGGCTCTTTGAAAGCTCGAGATGGAATCCAGGGTTTTGTCACTAGTTCTCACGCTGCTTTTGAATACACTTAAGGTGCTATTCTTTCCACGATTGCAGAATTGTGAGGATGCATGAATTGGTGCTTGTGCCATGCAGGAGAGACGAAGAATGGGTTCTCCCCAACTGCTGCTTTTTTGAAGCCGACTTCCAACCTAAATGTGCTCTCTGTCAAGCCTGGTTTTTTTCTAACATTTTCCACCAAATTGCCGTGAGCAGATTCGTTGAGATTTTATGGCTAGAGTGTTGATGGGTGAGGCCGTTCTTCACATTACCCTGTGTTGAGTTAACTTGGCAAAGACCTGGTCACCGCCCCGACCTCCACCCCTAGTACCTCATAGTTGTCTAATGGCTAATATGCCAGATGGCTCCAATTGGGAAAAAGTCAGGAGTAAATTGCTAGCCTGCTTAAAGCTAATCATTTGCTTGTGGCTCTGACCCACCAGTTTGCTTTCACCTTTAGAGTATCAGAAATCTATGATTACTTTTCATTGGTTAACCACTTTATCTTTAGTAACTCACTTTCTGGCATAAATACACACAATGGGGATGTACAAGTTTCCAGTCCCATGAAACAGGTCTCTGCTCCTGAGTGACCTGTTCCACCCTATTGTATTAGCCTCCATCAGGAGCATAGGAGTCCTTACAAATGTCCGACACCGTAAGAAGTCATAAGAGTGTTTCAAAAAGGTCGTGCAACAATAAGATGGACAATAAATTTATTTTGAAGCAAAATATTTTTGAAATTCATGCATAGTTTTTTCATAATATATAATTACAATGTACAAGAGTACAAAACCTTTTTTTGTGCATGAGTTTCAAAGTTTTTGCACAAAAATAAACCTATCTTTTTAAGATTTATTTGTTTATTTGGAAGGCAAAAAACAGAGAGGGACAGAAAAAGATCTTTCATCCACTAGTTCACTCCCCAAATGGTCCTAACAGCTAGGTTGGGCCAGGCTGAAGCCAGGAGCCAGGAACTCCATCCTAGTCTCCCAGGTGGGTGGCAGGTACCAAAGTCCTTAAGCCATCTTCCTGTGTCTTCCAGGCACATTAGCAGGGGTCTGGATGGGAAGTGGAGCAGCCAGTACGATACTCCAGTACAGGATGCCAGCATTACAAGTGGTGGCTTAGCCAGCTGTGCCACAACACAGGCCCCAAAATAAACTCATCTTTTTAAAGTCCATTTCCCATGAACTTTTTGAAGTCACTTCATATGCATTTATTTTTGGTACATAAGTAATTTGATGTATAATTCATGTCTGAAACTTACTCTAGGTTTTCTTTTAAAAAACTAAAGTCACTTTCCTAAACATGCTGTGAAAGAGTACAAATAGTTTGTGGGAAAAATAAATTTTCTTGAGTATTATCCTTTTGAATATTTTTCATTTCTGATTAATACTAGAGGTCTCAATTTGTAGATAGATTAAATCTTAATTATTCTGTAATACCAAACTTGGCAAAATTTGTTTTTCCTTCTAGAAGTTGGAGTCATTTCATTTCTTTGTGCATGATCATCTGAACACATTTCTTCCTTGGCTTAGCTTTCACTCTCCTCCAGAAAAGAGTAAAGAAATTGGATTTTGGGGGGAGGAGGCATTTGTTGCAGTGGTTAGGATGATGCTTGGGACACCCACATCCTGTATCAAGGAGCCTGAGTTCATGTCCTAACCCTGCTTCTGATTCCAGTTTCCTGTTAATGTGCACTGTGGGAGGCAGCAGGTGATGGGTCCAGTAGTTGGATCTCTGCCATCCGTGTGGGAGACCTAATTGAGTTTGTGACTCCTAACTTCAGCCTGGCTCAGCCTCAGCTGCTGTGAACACTTAATGAGTGAACAAGTGGATAGAAGATCTCTCACTCTCTTGCTCTCCCTCTCCTCAGATTAACTGAAAATCCTTTTTAAAAAATTTTAAAGCAACTTTTAAAACATTAAAAGAGTTTGGGTTTTGCAAATAATGGTTAATGAGAGATCTACCATTGACCTGATAGAGGAGTATAGCTCACAATTGAAAAAAAGAAAAAGTTTAATTTAGAAGGATTCTGGGAATAGCAAAACAATATTTTTTTCTCAGAGAGTTCCTAAATAAGAAGACAGACTTTACAAATAATGCTTAGGGGCCAGTGTCATGGCGCAGTAGGTTAATCCTCTGCCTGCAGTGCCAGCATCCTATGTAGGCACAGGTTCTAGTCCCGGCTACTCCTCTTCCGATCCAGCTCTCTGCTGTGGCGGCCTGGGAAAGTAGTGGAGGATAGCCCAAGTCCTTGGGCCCCTGCACCCATATGGGAGACGAGTAAGAAGCACCTGGCTCCTGGCTTCGGATAGGCGCAGCTCCAGCAGTTGCGGCCATTTGGGGAGTGAAACAGTGGAAGGAAGACCTTTATTTCTGTTTCTCCCTCTCACTGTCTATAACTCTACTTCTCAAATAAATAAATAAAATCTTTTAAAAAAAAAAGAAAGTAATGCTTGATAATGCAAACAAAATATATCTTTTTTACATTTGAAAATGACTGAAATCCAGCTAACAACACAAGCAACACTTTTTTTAAAAAAAAAATTATTTATTTATTTGAAAGGCAGAGTTACAGAGAGGCAGAGAGAGAGGTCTTGCATCCTGGTGGTTCACTCCCCAAGTGGCTGCAATGGCCGGAGCTGTGCTGATCCAAAGCCAGGAGCTTCCTCCAGGTCTCCCACGTAGGTGCAAGGGCCCAAGGACATGGGCCATCTTCTGCTGCTTTTCCAGGCCACAGCAGAGAGCTGGATTGAAAGTGGAGCAGCGGGAACTCAAACCAGTGCCCATATGGGATGCCAGCACTGCAGGTGGCAGCTTTACCCGCTATACCACAACACCAGCCCCTTCACAAATAATTTTATTTGGAAGAAACGTGCAAAGCACTATTCCAGAGGCTGGGCTGTGCAGTGAACAGAACAGGCTTCACTCTCTGCTTGCAGATATTTTACACTCCCATGCCCTACAATGAGCAAATAAATGCTAAGAAGGAAACAGACATGCAAATAACTAACTGAGAGTTTGGGGGTCCAGCACAAGAACACATGCAGAGGTTCTGTAACAGTCTGCCTGCTCTATTTGTTTCTCAGAGGGTGTTGCAGGACAGCTAGTCTTAAAGTTGTACTCAGAAGCAGCCAGACCTCCACTAACAAGGGAAGCTACAAGAAACTAGTCTCAGATTTTTGAGCCAACAATTTATAAAGATGTGTGTTCGTTGAACAAGAAGAGCCTCCTCTCCCCATTTTCTACATGCTGGATGCACACCTAACCTTCCATATGAAAGCTCTGGCCAGCTGTTTCTCTGGGAGGTAGTGTCTTTTTTGTTGTTGTTGTTAATAAACATTTATTTTATTTATTTGAAAGGCAGAGTTACAGAGAAAGAGAAGGAGAGACAGAGAAAGAGATCTTCCATCTGCTGGTTCACTACCCAAATGGACACAACAGTTGGGGCTGGGCCAGTCCGAAGCCAGGAGTCCAGAGCTTCCTCTGGTCTCCCACATGGGTGTAGGGGCCCCAGCACTTGGGCCATCTTCTGCTGCTTTCCCAGGAACATTAGCAAGGAGCTGCATTAGAAGTGGAGCAGCTAGGACTCAAACAGGCACCCATATGGTACGCCAGCATCACAGGCTACAGCTTAACCTGTTATGCCACAATGCCTCCCTAAGAGGTAGTTTCTTGGAGGAACTGTACCTTCCTGATGTCTCCTTTACTTGTCACAAATAAATAAGTAAATAAAACTTTCCTCTGAGCAATTCTTGCTTGAGGCTGACTATTCAGCAAAATCCCAAGCAAATGGACCCCTATGTCTGTCTGTTAATAAATCAGACTTTATGTGATGATGGAAATAATTGATATCTGCACAATTCAAAAAGGTAGCCATAACTACATATGGCTAATGAATACTTATAACCGAGGAACTGAATTTTTAATTCTTTTAAATTTTAATTTAAATAACCACATCATGGCATCATTTCTTATTTAGGGGCTCATTAGTATTATTGTGAGTTTGAATGTTTTTAAGAATTTATCTATTTTGTTTATTTGAAAGGCAGAGAGAGGGAGATGAGTGGGAGAGCAGAAAAGAAAGATAGCAAGAGCAACAGTGAGATAGAGAACCAAAGAGAGAGGTCTCCTATTTACTGGTCTACTCGCAAATGCCCTTAACAGCCAGAGCTGGGCCAGCCCAGAGCTGGGAGGCAGGAACTCAGTCTAGGGTTCTAACGTTCATGGAAGGAACCAAACCACTTGAATCATCCAAGGACACTGAATCAGGAGTGGGGCTGGAACTTGAAGGTTTCTTCCTTCCTTCCTTTTATTTTTATTTTTTTAAGATTTACTAATTTGAGAAACAGAGTTACAGAGAGGCAGAGGCAGAGAGAGAGAAAGAGAGAGAGAGAGAGGTCTTCTATCCGCTGGTTCACTCTCCAAATGGCTGCAATGGCTGAAGCTGGGCCGATTCGAAGCCAGGAGCCAGGAGCCAGGAGCCAGGAGCCAGGAGCTTCTTCTGGGTCTTCCACATGGGTGCAGGGACCCAAGGACTTGGACCATCTTCTACTGTTTTCCCAGGCACATTAG